CATGGCGGAATACATTACACACACTTTCTGCTTTAACCTTCCTCAGTAGTCATTTAAATTCTCACTATTTTCTGTCAGTAATGTAGTGTCCTCTACTTACTTCAGATTGCTATTATTCCTATGACAGAAATCCTAAAACATACGAGGCTCAAGAGTGCCACTTACAGTGTATGGGGTCTTGGATCCCTAGAAATTCCATTAAAAGGTTTCCCTTGCTCAAAAACCAGTCAAATCTGACTCTAGGAGGCGGTACTCATCTCCGTTTCCAAGCCGAAGAGCCAGCGCTATCCAAAGACTTCTCTGTGGTCATACGGCTGGCATGACTAAACCCCACAGAACGCTGTTACCTTCCCACCAAAGCGGTACCTATTTATCTACTTGCAATTTCTTGCTTTCAAACTGCTAGGTTGGCAGGAGTGAAATTCCATTAGAATGAGGTATTTATTTATTTGATTTTTATCCTGCTCCTTTCCCCACCAGGCAGAGCTCAGGGTGGCTTCCAATAATCAAACGGACAATAAATCAGAATCAGTTCAAAATCAAACCTTAGAGTTAAATTTTAAAATCAGTCAATCAAATCATATCAGATGGCACCCCAACAAACCTTCAGAGGTGGATAACTAAGGAGGCAGTCAATACAGTGGGATTTGCGGCCCAACAATTCACTTCCTTTTACTTCCTTTCAACATTGGAGCATCCTGGCAGACCTAATCCCTTTTGGACAAAGGACAATCCAGTTGAGACCAGACCATCTATTTGTCATGGAAGTTCAGAGCCATTACCAGGTGGCTCTATATTGTATATGGCTCTGATTTGTAAAAGTAGCCTCTGACATCAAAGATGGGGATTTGCATGGGACTGGAGAAAGCAGCTTGTCATTCTGAGAAAGGAGGCTAAGGTCCAATTCCATTTAGCATAAATACCTGGACATTTGGGGTTTTCATGTCTTCAGTTTTCAGTCTTCAATGGAAACTGGGTCTACAGGAGGTTGGGTAGAGGTTAAGGATTCCTTTGACTGCTTGTTACCACAAGGAGCTCTGCACATGCTCTGAGGAACCTGCCATAACATAGGTAATGTGTGTTTTGCTTTAGTTAGTTCAACTGTATTGCTTTTCATTTGAATATCTTTGTGCTGTATTTTGGTTTTGCCTCTTTCCACCCCTTTTTGAATCCAACCACCCTTTCCCTTTTTTCCTCTCTTTTACAATAAAATGTTTTATAAGGGTTTATTTATTTTATAAAGACACTTCTTTGGCTTCACTTAGTGCAATCTATTTCTTTGTAATATTTCCCTTAATCTCTTCCCCATGTGCTAGATTGCACAAGTGCTACCAGGTTGGTTATAAGTTATATTGTTATTGCTTTAGTACTGTACTGGAAGATTACCTTCTCAGCAAGTCAGTCTAGATGTTCTCAGGAGGTTCTGAGTGGTGACAGCTGGTTACCAGGGTACTTTCCAGGGACCCCTTGGTCTAAGGAAGGATAGACACCCTTTCCCCCTTCCTATTGTAACAACTCGTTGGCACCATTTTTCACTCTAAAGGTAAAAAAAGGTAAAGGTTCCCCTGCTTGAAAGCCAGTTGAATCCGACTCTAGGGTTGTGGTGCTCATCTCCGTTTCAAAGCCGAAGAGCCAGCGCTGTCTGAAGACGTTTCCGTGGTCATGTGGCCGGCATGACTAAACACCAAGGTGCATGGAACGCTGTTACCTTCCCACCGAAGTGGTACCTATTTATCTACTTGCAATTTCTTGCTTTCAAACTGCTACTTTCATCTAAATCTAATCTAGCTTCCCTCATATGATCTGCATATAGATTGAAGAGATGGAGAGATAAAATACATCCTCGTCTGACACCTCTGCCAATTGGAAACCATTGTTTCTCCGTATTCTGTCCTAAAAGTAGTCTTGTTCAGACTAGAAGAAGAGTTGGTTTTTATATCCTGCATTTCTCTACCCTAAAGAGTCTCAAAGCGGCTTACAATCGCCTTCCCTTCCTCTCCCCACAACAGTCACCTTGTGAGGTAGGTGGGGCTGAGAGAGTTCTGAAAGAACTATTACTGGCCCAAAGTTACTCAGCAGACTTCAATTGGAGGAGTGCAGAATCAAACCCAATTCTCCAGATTAGAGTCTGCTGCTCTTAACCAGTATAACACAAGGGCTCTCATATTACAGGTTGCACATCGAAACAATGAGACCAGCAGTAAACACAACTAATCAGATGGTGTTAGACATTATACATCCTTCCCTATGGGAGGAGACAGGGAGGCCAAGCTTGATGGTAGACAGTTTGCTGTCCTCAACCATAGGCCAGGCGGAACATCTCTGTCTTACATGGCCTGCAGAAATGTTTTAGATTCCGCAAGGCTCAGATGTCATTAGGCAGAGAGTTCCACCAACCACAGCTTTTCATGATCCAAGCAATACAAAGCTTTGCTGTAATCTATGAAACACAAGTGGATTTTCTTCTGAAACTTCTTGTATGTTCCAGTAACCAATGTAAATTTGCAATATGATCTCTACTGCATCTTCCTTTTCTGAATCCAGCTTGCACATCTGGTATTTCTCATTCCCAGCCCCGTAGCTAACAACTTTTGGCTCAGGGGGCCAATGTTTTTCTCGGGGGGCCTGCCATTATATGTCTGTGCAGAACTGCCATGCCATGCTCATACTTCTAAATAATAACTAAATAATAATAAATACAATAAATAATATTTGCATAATATTTGCATAAATTAGTTTGCTCTGGAGCCACTCCTCCTGAGTTAAGACAAAAATGGGTGAGCTGGAGGCTAAAAAACTGTGAGCTAGCTCACACTAACCCAGCTTAGAAGGAACACTGGCGAGGACTCAGGCTCCACTACTCTTTCTGTTTGTCCCCTTGTCATCCTGCTGGGGGTGTTTCCAGGGGGCCTTCTTTGGCACAAGGGGGTCCATCCAAATGGAGGGGGGGGAACGCAGCCATCACAACCCCCCATCTGGGACTGGGGGGGGAGCCTAAGGAGCAGCACGAGAAACAAGAAGCTGCTGGAGTCGGACTGATTTTCTCCTCTCCGTCTTTCTGCTGCTCCGGTGGCATTCCAGGGCTCTTCTACCCGGCAACAGCACCCAGGACCTTTTCTCATTGGCTGCCTCAGCCCCGTCCTCTTCTGCCCCCTCCAAAGGGGCAGGACCTCTGCCTGGCCCCCACTGCTGCTCCCATAGCTGCCTGGACCTCCCTCCGCACTGGACTTCTTCCACCTTGGCGAAGGCAGCAGGAATTTTTTCAGGAATTGGTGGGGGGGGCTGTGGTTCCTGCTGCCCCTCCTGAGTGGGCTCCTGGTGGTAGGTAAGCCCACCCCACTCGGGGAGGGCCCCGTAAAAACCGCGGGGGGGGCATGGTAGCTACAAGCCTGCTCATTCCATATATGGTAGCAGTCTTTGTTGTAAGATTTTGAGCATCACTTTACTCACGTGAGAAATTAATGTGATGATCCTATAGTTGCTGCAGTCTTTGACATCTCCTGTTTTTGGAATTGAAATGTAAATTGAGCATTTCCCATCTGTGAGCCATTGTTTTGTTTTCCATATTTGTTAGCATATTTTTGTTAAGATTTTGATGGCTCCATTTGGGTGGTTTGGAATAGCTCTATTGATATTCCATCTACTCCTGGTGATTTGTTTCTCCCAATTGCTTTGAATATTGCTTTCACTTCACTTTCTAAAATAGTAGGTTCCTCTTCAAAAATTCTTCTTTGAAAGAATCTGTCCTCCTTTCATTTCATCTGTATAGCTGTTTCAATACATACCTAAAGTGTATCAACATGGACAGAGGAAGTGGGATATAACGTTTTGTGTTTGGGAGACAAGTGTTTGAATTAATGAGAGACCTCCAAAATAGAGGAGTCCAATCAAACAGACTGTGTTCTTGTCTCAGACCAACACATATGAATAGCTGAAAGTACAGAAAATATGTGTGAATTGAATTTCAGTTTCTGTAGACCTCTCTGTTTTTAAAGAGTTTCTCTACCACAGCAATTGGCACAGGATCTGCTTACTGATGGACAAAGATCTGGGGATGTATCTGTTATCAGATTTCTGATACAGAAAATAAGAAATCAGTGCTTTGATTTCAATAGGTGTACACTGGGGTAACTCTGCACTGTAAATCTCTGGAAGGAGGTAAGAGAGGATCTCTGCCAAAATTTGCAGTTACAGAGGTAATCTTGGAGGACCAGATTGCTTTAAATCCTATTACGATATGATATCACATTTTAGGGACTTTGTAATAACATGTTTGCAGGCTTCCATAACTACCCACCCCCACCTCGCCTATTTTATAACCAGATGTGTAGCGTGGATCCTAACAAGTTAGTGATATGGAGAACAATTAAGAAACTATAGCTTCCCAGAGTAAGGCTTCCGGTTTTTACGATCCATCGAAAGGACTGAAAGGAATGGGCTTTTCAGTAGACTATGGGGGAATATGCTATACAAACAGAGACCCCTAAAGGCAATATCCCAGTGTCAAAATCCTTAAAAGCTTTCCCAAGGTTGTTTAAACTCAGAACTCATTACTGAGATTTAAGGTACCGACCCCAACCAAAATATTAAATTGTTCAACAGTACAATTATGTACTAGGTTGAAAAAACCCCCCCCCCCCCCCCCCCCGGGATTGTCAAGCAATGGAACGCGTAGATACCCGTGGAAGTTTAACTGTAATGGCCATTTCTAAAACCTTCCTGAGTTTTACAAGCCAATTCGTCAGTAACCTGATCTCGGCAGAAATGGAGTGTCACACTTTCAAGATCTAACTGAAAGACTGCGCCTGATTGGAGAATGGCGAAAGAAGCAAACAAAGGCGTGCGCTGATTGGTTGAGAGGAAAAAGCTCCCCACTGTTATAAGGGAGAGAGCTGCCGTTGCTAGGTAGCGCTCGGTATACAGAGGCTGACTAAGTTCTGCTTTCCTGTAACTTCATTGCTGTGGATGCTGTTCTTGTAGATGCCTTGCTTTATAAATATAAGCAGATCAAGGCAGACTTCTGTGACTTCCTTTCATATCTTAGTTCAGTCATGGCTACATGACACGCTAGAGACTTCGGCTTACTCTATTTCAGATCTTATGCTTCCATTTCATTGACAAGGTAGCCTGTAGCATTAACTGAAAATCCATCCAAATTCAGTTTCGTTCACCGATTTTCAGAGATGAGCTTTTCTAAACCTTTTCTTCCACGGCTTTGACAGATACCGCTTCTTCTGCCGGAGAACAGTTTCGTTTACTTTGTGACTCTACAGCACTGAGGATACTCCAGCCGTTACGATGCACTCAAGAGCTTGCTTGTTGTTGGAAAGAGAATTTCAGGAATATAAAAACGCCCGCATCTTTGTGAGTACAGTCCCTCGCCCCCTCTCCCGTTTATGATGACTAAGGAAACCGGCCCTGTATGCATCAGGATGGTGATGACAAGGAACAAAAGCTTCAATGGTCTGCTCCCTACCTACCGATAGAGAACCAGAGTTTTCATGTATTTAGCTACAGCTGACAGTTCAGCTACAGCTGACAGGCCACTGTGAACCTCCTTCAGATGGATGGGGTAGAGAAGGGATCCACAACCTTTCTGAGCCTGTGGTCACCTTTGCAATTCTGTCCCAGGATGGTGCCTGCAAAGTGCAACCACAAAAGGGTAGTCACAAAAGGGCTGCTGCAGGAGCCATAAAATGATTACCGCAACTTACCTTCAGTAACACAGTGAAGATCCTTAGGCTGTGGGAGAGCCGCTGCCAAAGCAACTTTTTAAAAATCAAATCTCAAGTGGCCGGTCAGAAGCCCTACTGGGCAAAAAGCCCACCTGGCCCCAGCCACTTTCTCAAAGGACTTGGTGGGTACCAGGAAAGGTGTCCGCAGGTACTACGGCACCCACCTCCCGGGGTAGAGGACAGAAATGTTTTAAATAACTAAGCATATGGGCAAGGGAGATTTTACCTTATTAAAATTGAGGGTTGTTAGTTAACTATGTACAGGTCACATCTTCAAATAATTTAAAGTGCTTTGATTCTTTTTATGAACAGGACCTGGTCTCCCTTTAGGGTTGCCAACCTCCAGGTGGGGCCTGGAGATCTCCCAGAAATAGAACTGGGCCACAGAGATCAGGTCCCCTGGAGGAAATTCCTGCTTTGGAGGGTGGACTCTGTGGCATGATACGTTCTTCCCCTTCCCAAACCCTCCCCTCCCCAGGCTCTGCCCCCAAAGTCTCCAGGTATTTTGCAACCCAGAGCTGGCAACTGTATTCCTCTCACATAACCTGATGCTAAGAACTAGTTTAGCAGGAACGCAAAGATCCCCCTCCAGTGTTTAGAATAGTGTATGAGGCCACTCCCTGACAATAAGATGACATGGTAGGGGCAAGCTCATGTACCAGGTATACTTAACAGGTACAACCTTTATCAGCATGTCAACATTACATTTGTTAAAAGCATAGGGGCCCCCAGGTTAGAAGACCAAAAACAAACCCTCGTGTGCCATTGAGGGCTGGCTTACGTGGGGCTTTGCAGCAGCGCCAGAGCAGCTGTCTCCATCCTTCATGTGGGCAGGGCCAGTGTCTAGCCATGTAGTAAGACAGTGATTCTTTAATTATCCCACTGTTGGAAGATTAGCACTAGATTGTTTGCACTCTATAGGTACAATTAGCCTTTAGTTGATGGGAATATATATGCTGCCCATTTCTCTATCAGAATAGAGTAGAACTGAAGAGAGTGAGAGGGAGAACTCATGAAGACTTCTTTTTTTTTTTTTTTTTAATCTATCCATGTAAGGAAAGAGCTTAGTGGCCAGGCCAGACCCAGCAGCAACCTCTCTTTTCCAGAGACTTTTAAAATACTATAAATACATAATAAGACGGACTATACTTCGAGCGCTGAAGAATAGTTTCTTTTGAATTATGGTGCTGGAGAAGACTCTTGAGAGTCCCTTGGACTGCCAGGAGATCAAATCAGTCAATCCTAAAAGAAATCAACCCTGACTGTTCCCTGGAAGGCCAGATAATGAAACTGAAGCTCAAATACTTTGGCCACCAAATGAGAAAGGAGCACTCACTGGAGAAGACCCTGATGCTGGGAAAGACTGAAGGTCAAAGAAGACGGGGATGGCAAAGGATGAGATGGATAGACAGTGTCATAGATGCAACGAACATGAAATTGAGCAAACTTCAGAGGACGGCAGAAGACCAGAAGGCCTGGCATGATCTGGTCCATGGGGTTGCGAAGAGTCGGACTCGACTGTGCGACTGAACAACAACAACATAAACATAAAATGAATTTATAAATCAAGTCACATATAAAAGGAATACAGACATACTCTTAATAAAAATGTACTCATTGTCTCAAAGGAAAGTAAGTTAGTGAATCCAAAAATATTATTTCACTTTTCTTTCCTTAGGGTATTTCTGTTACACCTATAGGAGATAACTTCATGGAATGGGTTGCTGAGATCCAAGGACTAAAGGATTCTCTATGGGAAGGTAAGCTATCCTGTTTCCTAAGCATTTTATAATAAAATATGATAGAATCATAGAGTTGGAAGGGATCTCCAGGGTCATCTAGTCCAACCCCTGCACAATGCAGGAAATTCACAAATACCTCCCCCTCCACACCTACAGTGACCACTGTTCCACACCCAGAAGATGACAAAAAACCTCCAGGATTCCTGGCCGAACTGGCCTGGAGAAAAATTGGTTCCTGACTTCAAAGTTACAATCAGCATTTCCCTGGGTGTGTAAGAAAGGGCCACAAGAACTAAGCACTGAGGCAACCCTTCCTGCCCTCCCTCTCCTGATCTGCCTAAGTTCACACAATCAGCATTGCTGTCAGATGGCCATCTAGCCTTTGTTTGAAAACCTCCTAAGAAGGAGAGCCCACCACCTCCCGAGGAAGCCTGTTCCACTGAGGACTGCTCTGTCAGGAAGTTCTTCCTAATGTTTAGCGAAAAACTCTTCTGATTTAATTTCAACCCAATTGTTCTGGTCTAACCTTCTGGGGCAATGGAAAACAACTCCATGCCATCCTCTATATGACAGCCCTTGAAGACGGTTATCATATCACCTCTCAGTCGTCTCCTCTCCAGGCTAAACATATCCTTCAACCTTTCCTCATAGGACTTGGTTCCCAGACCTCTCACCAGTGTTCCCTCTAAGCTGAGTTAGTGTGAGCTAGCTCACAGTTTTTTAGCCTCTGGCTCACACATTTTTTTCTTAGCTCAGGAAGGGTGGCTCCAGAGCAAACTAATTTATGCAGTAGCTAAATTGCTTGCACACAACTTTAATACTAGTAGCTCACAAAGTGGAATTTTTCCTTACAAGACTCCACAGCTTAGAGGGAGCATTGCCCCTCACCATCTTCATTGCCCTCCCCTGGACACATTCCAGCTTGTCTATATATTTCTTAAACTGTGGTGCCCAGAACTGAACACAATATTCTAGGTGAGGTCTAACCAGAGCAGAGTAAAGTGGTACCATCCGTGTGACCTGGACACTATACTTCTGTTGATACAGTCCAAAATCACATTTGCCTTTTTAGCAACTGTATTACACTGCTCACTCATGTTCAGTGTATGGTCTACTAAGACCCGTAGATCCTTTTCGCACATACTACTGCCAAGACAAGTCTCCCCCAACCTATAATTATGCATTTGATTTTTCCTACCTAAATGCAGAATTTTACATTTATCCCCACTGAAATTCATCCTGTATCCTAACTCTGTCTTCTACCATATGTGCTACCCCTCCCAATTTAGTATCATCTGCAAATTTAATAAGCATTCCTTTCCTTCTGTTCCTTCATCCAAATCATTGATAAAGATGTTGAACAAAACAGGTTCCAGGACAGATCCTTGAGGCACTCCACTTGTCACTCCTCTCCAAGAAGATGAGGAACCACCCACAAGCACTATTTGGGTGCGATCTGTCAACCAGTTACAGATCCACCTAGCAGTCATAGGATCCAAACCACATTTTTCCAATTTGTCAACAAGGCTATTATGTGGAACCTTACCAAAAACCTTACTGAAATCAAGATAAACTATTTCTACAGCATTCCTCTGATCCAGCAAGGTAGTAACTTTCTCAAAAAAAGAGATAAGGTTAGTCTGACATGACTTGTTCTTGAGAAACCCATGCTGGTTCTTAGTAATCTCAGCCATCCTTTCTAAATGCTCAAGGACTGTCTGTTTGATTATTTGTTCTTAAACTTTCCCAGGTATAGATGTCAAGCTGACGGGTCGGTAATCCTCCTTTTTCCCTTTCTTGAAGATAGGGACAACATTTGCCCGCCTCCAGTCTTCTGGAACCTCACCTGTTCTCCGAGAATTCTCAACAATAATGGACAGAGGCTCAGAAATTACATCTGCGAGTTCTTTTAGTACCCTTGGATGCAGTTCATCTGGCCTGAGGACATACTTTCATTTAAAGAAACTAGGTGTTTCTATACTACCCCTATGCTGATCCTAGGCTGCAACTCCCTTCCCTCATCATGTGTTCTGTTTTTGCCGTATTGAGCACCATTTCGCTTGCAAGAGAAGACTGAGGAAAAGTAGGAATCGAGCAGTTCTTCCCTCTCTTAATCACCTGTTACAATTTCACTTTCCTGTCCCCGCAATGGGCCTACCATGTCCTTGCTCTTTTTCTTACTTTGAATATAAGAAAAGAACCCTTTTTTGTTGTTTTTAGCACCTCTCACTAGCCTAAGCTCATACTGAGCTTTAGCTTTCCCAACTCTCTACAAGCACTGGTTATTTGTTTATATTCATCCTTGTTTATAAGACCCTCCTTCCACTTCCTGAATGAGTCTTTTTTTATTTCTCAAGTCTTTAGAAAGCTGTTTATGGAGCCACCTTGGCTTCTTTAGGCTCCTCCCATGTTTCCTTCTCATAGGAATCATTTGTGATTGTACCTTCAGTATTTCCCTTTTAAGAAACTCCCACCCTTCTTGAACTCCCTTCTCCTTAAGTATTTCTGACCATGGAATTCTACCCAGCATAACTTTGTTTGTCAAAATTTGCTTTCCTGAGGTCCAACCTATATGTCTGGCAATGTACAGATCAAATCCAAGATAGCAGATCCCCTTGTTTCCCTCTCCAATTTCTGAAAAATGAAGTTGTCAGCAAGACAAGTCAGGAATTTATTGGACCTTTCATTTTTAGCAGAGTTGGACTTCCAACAGATATCTGGGTAATTGAAATCTCCCATGACCACCATGAGGTTTTCGTTTCTGTACTTACATGTGAGTTAATATCATCTAGCGTATGTGCCACTCCCCGCAAAACTTTAGAGGTCTTATCTGCAGTTGTTGGCATCATACTGGGCTTTGCATTTTTGTCTCACTTCCCCACAGGATTTAGTTTAAAGCTCTCCTTATTAGGTTTGCAAAGCTGTTTCCAAATACATATTTTCCTACACTCGTGAGGTGCAAACCATCTCCCGATAGAAGAGTTTCATCTTGGAAAGATAAGCCATGGTCCAAAAATCCAAACTTTTTGTGATGACACCATCTACATAGCCAGTCATTGATGTGCAGTATTCTTCTTTCCCTTCCTAATCCATGGCCTTTGACAGGAAGAACTGACGAGAATACAACTTGCACTTCCAATTCCTTCACCTTTTTACCCAGAGCCACATTGTCTCTTTTAATGTGTTCTGGGCTATGCCGGGCTTGATGAGTCTTCCTACCCTTTCCGGCAGATCCTGGATGCGTACACCTGGTAGACAGCATACCTCTTGAGATGACAACTCCGGTCGGCACACTTTGGCTTCTACCCCTCTCAGGGAATCCCCAATTACCAACACATGCCTTCTCCTATATTAGGGAGCAGATGCTCGAATCCTCTCATCCACAGGGGTCTGAGAAATTTTCTTCAAGCTTCATGTAGGCTGGGGGAGGAGCCCTTGTTCCAGTGGTTCAGAATCAATATCTGTGGGGAGATCCAGGAACCGATTGCTTAGTAACAGAGACTCAGAATGTCTCTTGATCCTCCTGTTCCTGTGGGTTACATTCTTCCTTGTGCCCTCCTCCTGTGTTGGGTGCTCCTCCAGTTGCTGAGATACTTTTCCCTTCCTCCTGTTGCCCTCTCAGGAGTGCTACATGCATTCTGTCCATGAACTCTTCGCCTTCCCTTATAAACTGGAGTGTGGACAAGCGTGCCTCAAGTCCCTGTATCCTCCTCCAGTAGGGCTACCAACTTACACTTGCTGCAAGTGTGATTGCTGTTACCCTCAGGTAAGAATACGAACATGCCACAGACTTTGCACATCACTCTGCCTCCGCTCCCTCACCAGCCATGCTGCACTCCAGCAGTAGCTCCCTCTCCTGCCCTTTCTCAGAGCCCAGCTGACTGTGGTCTGACTCACTCCAGCAGCAGTCCAAAAATACTATTGCATTATACTATATGATTCCTAAGAAATTCTCCAAGGTTTGGATGTTCAAAAAGAGTTTTCTGTCCTCCCAAGATGTTGACATGCAGTTATATCGAACTAATTGTTTCTGGCTCTGACTTTTACTTGATGTGGTTTGTCATGGTAGATATGGTGTCCTGCTTGTCTCTACAGAGAGGGAGGGGCAACAAGAAGATCAGGGAGGGTGACGGGACCTGTGGCTGCCTTATTTCCCATTGCTTCAGGAAATTAAAAGACCTGCATCCAGTGTCTGGTGACTAACAACCCTAGATATCACTTCAGGAAGGTTAATAATGGAAGGTACAATACTATGTACACTCACTAGGAAGGAAGCCATATTAAATTCAGTGGGAAATATAAGCAACCTGCCTAGGTTTGGACTGCATCTGTATGTATGTGTAATGTAATTATGTTTATCAATGTTAGGCGCTGTACTCCAACTAGCTATGAAGTATACTGAAAATTACAACAAAGTACCTCCAAGCATCAATTTCACCACTATTCCTTTTCACCCCAATGGTAAGGATATTTACAATGGTGACTTTCTGATAGTAATCTATCAGGAGCATATTCTCCATGACATAATCCTGTATTTGTTAGTCCAGATAGTAGTTGTACTTCAGAGTACATTTTATCATTCTTTCCTTAAATACAGTTATCTATTCATTTATCTATTCATTTACAGTTATCTGTTCATTCATCGATTCATTTATAGTTATCTATTCATTTACGTCAGTACTCCATTTTAGCCTCACAACAACCCTATGAGTTAGGCTATGCCAAAAGATAATGATTTTCCTAGTCTACCCAGCTTTCTGGATGACATGGAAATACAGCTCTAGCCACTGAACCAATCCTGGCTCTTTAGTATCTATCAACTACATCTTTTTAAATTTCTGGATCAAGCAGGGCTCTTATTGATTGTGGTGTGCCTTCTGTGGAAGGTGATCAGGAACCTAGACTGGGTCTACTCATTAATTAGCTTTGTTCCTTGAGGGTTATCCTGGTAAAAGGTTTGAAAACTTCTGGTGGCACAGAAAGAGGCGGATCAGTAAAAGTGGTTCTAAAACACTGAACATAAACACACATTTCAAGATGCTGAATATCCATAAAGCCCTAAATGGCTTTGAACCAGGATGTCAAACTGTTTTTCCCACACACAAACTACCCCACTGTTAAGTACTTTTGAGAAAACCATAGTTCAGGTTCTATCTTTAGACATACTTTAGCACAGTGTTCAAGAAGAAGGCATATTACAATGTATTATGCATTTTTTCTTCCCCCCTCTGTGTGTTCAGACTTCAAATGGAGATTTATGCTGATGCATTAAGCATATCAACATAGTTTCATAGTGGACTCTCAATGCTCAACAGATATATCATTCCATAGTGTGTTTTCTGTATTTCCTGTCCCTTTTTAAATGGACATTGGGGTTGATTTTTTTACTTTGAACTTTGAATGGTGTCCTGAATGTGTGTGGGAGGTGTGTGTGTTATTTGGGCTTTGATTTTGTTGCTTTTAGATTATAATGTTTGTAACTCTGATTTGTAAGCTACCTTGAACAAAGAGGAGAGGCAGGAGATAAATATTTAAATAAATAAATAAAATGTGCACCGATTTTCATTGAAATATTTTAATCTTGAAGGGATATATTGCATTGCAAAATAACAGAAGCAGGACCTATGGTTTTAAGAAATGAATGCCCTCAGTGCCCCTGCTAAGCTACCACAACAGAATTGCCAGCCTTCAAACCCTGGTTTATCAGTAAAAGTCAAGGGGAGGCGGCAGGGCCCTTTCTAGGGCTGTTTTGTCTTTTGAGGGAGGACTCATTGTGGCCAGGCCCAACAGCAACCATCTGGCAACTTGCTACCATGTGATCTGCACAGCTCACTGCCCAGCTGCTAGCTACTGCTCAACAGCAGCAACTCAACAATAGCCAGTGTAGTGTGAAGGTAATCTTCTGATAAAGTTAAAAGAAAATTTACTTAAAAGGAATCTTTAAAAAGCAAACAATCCACAGGAAATCCTATGAATCTTATTGATTTTTACAGATTATTTTTCTTTGTAACTTAGAAACCATGCTGATATCTTCCGTTTAATATAGAAAACCCTTTTTTAAGAATCATAGTAGCAACTTTTTATAAGAATTTAAAGTCCTATGACTGTTTATTCACTCCCCAGGTCCCCCCGGAGGCTGGCATCCCTGGGTGGTGGTTAGTATTTCAGATTAGGGTCTGGGAGACCCTGGTTTGCATCCTTATTCTGTCATGGTGATCACTGGGTAACCTTGGGCCGGTCACACATCCTCAGCCTCTCATGGGGTTTTTGTGGGGATAAAATGGAGGAGCAGAGAATGATGTAAGCTGCTTTGGGTCCCCATTGTCTAGAAATGTGGTGTATAAATGATGTAAATAAATATATTTATTATTTATATAGGTGAAGATGGGGGCAGATAAAAGGTGGGTGGGTGGGAAGGAGAGAACCAGATAGGGAAAGGTGAGGATATGGGCGCTACCAAGAGGAGAGAAAGAGGAAATAGCGTGGGGAGGCAGTACAGGGGACTTCACTTTCCCCCATACTGCCTCCCCATCCTATTTCCTCTTTTACACTGTGCAACTGGTCCCAGCCTAGGTAGAATTGTACAACTGGTTTCAGCCTGGCCTTGTGGCAGGAACCACACAACTCAGTCAGAGGTTCCCGGAGAGAGGCTGCGGAAGAAAGAAGGGAAAGCTGAAGATAGAGGGGAGGGAGATAAGGGTAGGTTGGCTGGTGGGTGGGAAGGAGAGAAAGAAGCAGGAAAAAGAAGAGGCTATGGGGGCTTTCAGGAAAGAGGAGGAAGAAATAATGGGGTAGGGGGAAATCAGGCCCCTAAAAGTCCTTATGTGCCCCTTCCCGGTTGTAGTGTATTTCACACATTTTCTGGAACCAGTTTCATAGATTTTGCTAGCTAGAAATTTGTACATTTTAAAATAGCTTGAATTTATTAATTTATTAAAAATAATTTATTAAAAGAAAGGTGGATATGTCACCTGAGAAGGTGGTTACAAATGTAGACACCCTCCAAGCGAACTCTGACTGTGGCTTGGGATCCTAATGTACTTGGGATGATATTTATAATGCATGAAAGAGAGAGAGACACACATCTAATTACCTGAATCCATCTTTATTTGTATAACAGTAGATAGAAAAAGCAAGAGGGACAGTTTTTCAGAATGTAATGCAGAGAAATCAGAAGTCACTTTAGACTATTCTGAAGATGCAATAGAGAGCAATTGAACAATTCCTAGAGAAAGCCATTGTGTTATCTAGGTGCATTGGCACAGAACACATTTGTGCATGGTTTTACATTGTCCCGAAGGAGAAAATAAGAGGTGGAGAAAGGGGAAGGAAAAGGGCTGTTGCAAGATAACAGACTAGGGATACCAACTGACTGAGAGGGGTTTGGGGGAAAAAGGAGTAAAGGTAAAACAGGCAAAAGGATTTCAATAGGCAGAATCATGGGTCACTGGAAGTAAGAGTGGATGAGAGCAATGTTGCACAGGGCAAAGAAATGAGCTGAATGGAAAAGGGATGGTGGTGCTTGCTTGGAGACAGAGAGTTCCAGAGCAGAGGTAGGGGTAGAGATTCAATAGTTGCTTGATCCTGAAGCTGGAGTTTTTTCAAGACTCACGGTGCTAGAGGACAATCCTGGGGTGAAACAGGACATAAAGTGGACCACTTTATTCTCACAGATGTGCACCCTTTCCTCCTAGTGGTGGGACCAAAGTTGTGCTCCCTCGAGTTACTTTGAGGGTGGTGAAAGATAAGTTTAGCCTCTCTGACTGAGTACTTGATTGCTTTATCTGGTAAGTACACGGTATTCTGGATGTTCATTGATCAGACTGGAATGCCAGGGTATTGTCCCATAAGTTCTATCCATGCATTTGGTGTGGGGAGATCTCCTGGACTCACAAGACAAGCCCTAGAGGGCTGTGATGGTTTCCTATGGGAATCTGGTCATCTCATCATGAGATTTCATTTTCATGCGCTTAATTGCTATCATGATTCCTTGGCTTGATCCAAGATGGAGTGTGCCTACATCTTTGGATTCATAGGAGTAAACATTTAAATAATTGTTTAAATAAACATAAGATGTAATGTAAATGTTTAAATTAATTAGGGTAGTGTCTTTCACATAGTTGTGTCTATAGCAAATTGTTACCTTTCTTTCACTGTTCTGCAGTTTCATTATAGAAAACTTGTTAAAATCTTTGCAGTAGGACACATATAAAATCTGAATCCTCTGGTTAATGTGAATGCTTCTGTTCTCCATTGAAGTGGACCCAACAACTGGGAGACCTTGTGTGGATTTTCTAGATGATCCTGCCAAGTGGAACACGAAGTTCACAATGAGTAGTGTCCTGCTTAGTATCCAGGTAAAGAAAGACCTGTGCAAAGAATTCACCTTACTTTTTTAATGGACAGTTGTGTATGTGCAGGCCAAATACAGGGACCTGTGTTAATCCAATGGAATGTTAATCTTTTTTCCTTTGACCAGAATCCCCCTCACTGAATTCAATATCACAAGGTCCTTTTGAAACTCGTCTCTGTTTCAAAAGATTTTTCCATGCTACATGGGAGGCTTGAGCAAAATAAGCGTAAAGTCCTTTGGGGTTCACAAGTTTCACAGTTTTGGGATCCTTATCATAGTATTTGCACATTTGAGGAAGGAATTCATGTATGGGTTTTGTTGAACCCTGTAATAGTTTGGACTCACTGATTCGTCAGCATAAGGCACTGATAGTCACAGATCTTCCCCATTTTTCTCCCCTAGCAGCCATTTCTGACCCGGGGAAAGTTGATTCCCAGGACTGTGGGACCCCCGTAGAGTAACAGCCATGTGGGTCAGTAGGCTGCAGTGAGGACAAAGGGACCCATCTGATGGGAAACGACATAAAGGAGCATTTCACACCCTATCCCCTACTCACTGCAGCCAAGCGATGCGTGTGGCTATTATTCCACACAGGTCTCATAACCCTGAGAGTCAACATTCCCACAGTCAGAAATGGCTGCTGGTGGGGAGGGAAAACCAGAGAAGATGGTCAGTTCTTGCATAAGTGGATCACTGATCCAACCCAGTGGTTTCAGCAATTTTTCAGGCAGAAATCAAAGGGAAATTATTTAATATGAAGGGGAAGAAGCTATGGGATCCCTGTGTTCTGGTTCAGCACAGCAGAGCCTCCTCTCCTCGCCTTCCTTTGCTGCCTCTAAGAACCAAACTAGACATTACTTCCTTCATGGGTTTACCATGGGGACTTGCAAGTGCAGTATGACTGCAAGACTCCAAGGCAGATTCATAAAACAAGTAACATTTCCTTTGGCTCTGAGTTACTGAGTTGTAGGCTGAACCTGAAAATTCCTCCTTGCATGCAAAGTGAGGAAGTTTGCGTCCAGTATTTCCCAGCCTTTCTTATTTTGATTGTGTGTGTTTGTTACCTGCTTTACGTCATTGAAACTAGTTGATGTTTGAAAAAGCTTTGAAAACTGGCATGTATGTTCACACAGGTTATCCTGTCTAATCCAGTTTTGGATAATGCAGTAAATACGGAGGCAGCTAAAATGCTGAAGAACAATATTTCCCTGTATAGAAAAAGAGTTATGCAGTGTGTTACCACTAGCCAGCGCCTAGAAGGTAATAAACCTCCATGCTTTCTGCTATTAGTCATAAATATATTCTTTTAAACTCCATAGGGAGTTTTAGAAGAAACCTCTTAAATGGCTTTTTAAAAGACCCCTATTTTATGCCCAGCAGTAAATTTTAATTAGTGTGATTGGCAATGTAACCTGAGCATGGGATCTTTAGGCAGATCTGTGATCTCACAAAACAAAGTTGCCAGGCAATTTTCAGAGGTGATACAGAGGTCATGAGCTGGAAAATAAGGGCATGAGTAACAATATTAGAGAAAGTTAGAGTTGTTGTGCCAAGGATTCCTTTGGTGCCATATTTACCCTTTGACATAATCTTCTATGGAAACTACATATGAATAGCAGTACCACTATTTATTTATTCATACCACATCTTTCTCCCCAGTAGGGACTCAAATTGGCTCACATTAATCTCCTCCATTCTATTTAATCCTTTATTTTATTTTGCTACCACTTTATATTATGTATTGAGCCCAAGGAAATACTGGCACAAGTTTGCCACTGTGATGGAATGTATTCTATTTTGTTGTTGTTCAGTCGCACAGGCGAGTCTGACTCTTTGCAACCCCATGGACCACATCACGCCAGGCCCTCCTGTCTTCTGCTGTCCTCCAGAGTTTGCTTAATTTCATGTTCATTGCATTGATAACACTGTGTAACCATTTCATCCTTTCCCATCCCCTTCTTCTTACTGTCAGTCTTTCCCAGCATCAGGATCTTCTCCAGTGAGTGCTCCCTTCTCATTTGGTGGCCAGAGTGTTTGAGCTTCAGCTTCAATATCTGGCCTTCCAGATTTTTTTTTAGGATTGACTGATTTGATCTCCTTGCAGTCCAAGGGACTCTCAAGAGTTTTCTCCAGCACCATAATTCAAAAGCATCTATTCTTTGGCGCTCGGCCTTCCTTATGGTCCAGCTCTCGCAGCCATACATGACTACTGGGAATACCATTGCTTTGACCGTACAGACTTTTGTTGGCAGGGTGATGTCTCTGCTTTTTATTATGCTGTCTAGGTTTGCCATTGCTTTCCTCCCAAGGAGCACACATCTTTTAATTTCATGGCTGCAATCACCATCTGCAGTGATCTTGGATCCCAGGAACGTGAAGTCTGTCACTGCTTCCATGACTTCCCCTTCTATTTGCCAAGGAGTGATGGGGCTGGATCTTAGTTTTTTTAGTGCTGCATTTCAAGCCAACTTTTGTGCTCTCCTCTTTCATCCTGAGCAAGAGGCTCTTTAGGTCCTCTTCACTTTCTGCCATTAGAGTGGTATCGTCAGCATATCTGAGGTTGTTGATGTTTTTCCCAGCAATCTTAATTCCAGTTTGCGATTCATCCAGGCCGGCATTTCGCATGATGTACTCTGCATATAAATTAAATAAGCAGGGTGACAATATACATCCTTGTCGTACTCCTTTTCCTATGCTAAACCAATCAGCTGTTCCATATCCAGTACTAACTGTCGCTTCTTGACCCTTATACAGGTTTCTCAAGAGACATGTGAGGTGGTCTGGTACTCCCATCTCTTTAAGGACTTGCCATAGTTTTTTGTGTGATCCACACAAGCAGAGGCTTTAGCGTAGTCAATGACGCAGACATAGATGTTTTTCTGGTACTCCCTTGCTTTCTCCATAATCCAGCAAATGTTGGCAATTTGATCTCTAGTTCCTCTACCTCTTCAAAACCCAGCTTGTACTTCTGGCAGTTCTCTATCCACGTACTGCTGAAGCCTAGCTTGTAGGATCTTGAGCATGACCTCGCTAGTATGTGAAATGAGTGCAATTATGTGACAGTTTGACCATTCCTAGGCATTGCCCTTCTTTGGGATTGGAATGTAAACTGACCTTTTCCAGTCCTGTAGCCACTGTTGCATTTTCCAAATTTGCTGGCATATGGAGTGCAGCACTTTAACAGCATCATCTTTTAGAATTTTGAATAGCTCAGCTGGGATACCGTCACCTTCACTAGCTTTGTTGTTAGTAATGCTTTCTAAGGCCCATTTGACTTTGCACTCCCGGATGTCTGGCTCAAGGTCAGTGATCACACCATCGTGGTTGTCAAGGGCATTGGGGTCCTTGTATAGTTCTTCTGTGTATTCTATAGTCTCTCCATATTTTCTGAACAAGACACTTTTCAATCCAGATAGTGATACAAACAACCTTATTCACTCATCTTTGTCAGATGAGTGACAGGGAAAGTATGTTCCCTGTTGATTTTCCTGGACTTCTTGGCAGCTTTCAGTACCATCAGCCATGGTATCCTTATGGAGAGGTTGGCTAGGAGTAGGGAGCACTGTGCTTTGGTCATTCTGCTTTGACTGGCCATGTCCAGAAAGTGGTGCTGGAGGGGGGCACCTCTTCTTGGCCCCGTGGCATTTATCGTACGGGGTCCCTTGGGGATCTTGTTTTCATACTGTTTAACTTCTTTGTTAAACCACTGGTAGAGATCATTCTGTGGTATGATGCCATCAATATGTGGATGACATTCAGCTCAATTTCTCCTTAACAGCTGAGCTGGGTGGGTCTATGGAAGTCCTGAACGAGTGGCAGGTTAAGGTAAAGGGATACTTGAGGGGCAATAAACTGAGGCTCAGTCTAAACAAGACTGAGGTACTGTTGATCAATGATAAGGGTTGCTGGAGATTGAGGGGCCAGAGACTGCCATGCACTCTGTGAAGGAGCAGGCTCATATCTTGGGGGTGCTGCTGGATTCTGGCCAGCTCCAGGAGGCCTCTATAGCACCTTTTATCTGCTTCAGCTGATGAGCAAGCTATGGCTGGTCCTGAAAAAGTATGATTTGGCCATGGTGATCCATACAATGATCATATCGAGACTGGATTAACTGTAAAGTATTCTGTGTGGGGCTGCCTTTGACAAAATACATAGTATAAATATTTTTGCTATTTCCTGTGTATACTATAGACATACACAGTATGTTTTCAAGGATATGTTTATTTATTGCTTGTTTGTTTTACTTTTTTCTTACCTCCCTCCCAGGTTACAAAAACTAAGGTACATGTGAGAAGGTAGCATAGTATACAGCAGTTTGCATCTCTGTTTCTCTCTATGGAGTGCTGGGTATATTAACAATTCTATTTGAATTTCCCTCCTTAGGGTTTTGTTACCACCATGTTTCTCAAAGTGTGGTTCCTCAAAGCATGATATAGCTTCCCCATGCAAGTGTAAATAAATCTAACTGAATTTGATGGGATTGACTTTCATGAGAATGTTTTTAGGACCTCAGTATATGTGATAGGTGAACTGGATTCCTCAGCCTACTTTGATCTGTTTCAAATGCTTGCTGAGGCCGACACACTTACCTGTGGTAGGACACTAATCATAGTGTGTCTTGTGATCTCAGTCAGCATCCATTGAGGCACCAATTATATGAATTACCTCTTAGACACAGTACGATAGATGGTTGCCACCAATGTTCCCTCTAAGCTGAGTTAGTGTGAGCTAGCTCACACTAACTCAGCTTAGAGGGAACACTGGTTGCCACATATCTGTGCTTTACCAGCATCTGAACCAGGTTTGTGTATCATTTGGGTAGCATGGAATGATTTAAGTACACAACAAAACGTTCAGGATAATGGTGATGTATATTTTAGGAAATTGTTCTCTTTTGTAGCTGTGGATAGCTCAGAACACAAGTCTACAACTTCAATCAAATGTTATATTGCACCTGAAGAATCTGCTCCTGAACAATCAAGGTAATAGATGCTGGTTAAGGTTCTGTGAATGGGCCACAAAAAAAAATTCTGTAACTATTCAAATTATGGTAACTGTATGGGTTAACTCTGATGTTTGTGTCTAAAATCAGTTCAATAAATTACACTTCTCTCTTAATGTCTAATGCTGAACTTGGACCTTGGGGTGCAGATCAAAAATGTGCTCAGTGGAATGAAGTATATGGGACACTCCTCTATAAATCTTGAAGAACCACCAGCTTTTCAGAAACATTTAAAAGCTTGGGAAAAGTGAAATGAAGATTCCAATTTCCCAAAGACAAGGTGTGTCACAAGATAGTCAGCTGCAATCATGATGGCTGCCTAGCAACTCCCAAGATGCATTGTGGTGGAGGGACTGGCAGTGGTGGAGGAAGATGTTGGCTGTGGTAGCTAAGCACCAGAGATGTTTGGGCTTGGAGGGTGGGCCGCCTTAAAGGGAAGAAGGGGAGTGGCAGGTGACAGTGGGGCAAGGGAGGAGGTGGTAGAAGCAAGGCAGTGAAGGAAATTTATTTTTATTTGTTTTTATTTATTCAATTCATAACCCGCCCTCCCCGCGAACAGGCTCAGGGCGGCTTACAGCAGTAGCCCAATTGCCAATAAAACCGATAAAACAATATACATCATTTCATAATAAGTTAAAACATAAAACATAAGGTGCTGTTCAGTTCTACAGTTCATTGCTTACAATGGCATATTAAGATGTCTCCGACAACTAGATTCCAGCTCAGTATCATTCCGAGTTGCTCGATGTAACAGGCCAGATGTTAAAACTGAGGGCCGGGCTCATTGATGGTTATGGTGGGGGTGGCTCCTAATTGAAAGCCTGGTGGAAGAGCTCCGTCTTGCAGGCCCTGTGGAACTGCAAAAGATCCCACAGGGCCCTGATCTCCTCCGGGAGCTCATTCCACCAGTAAGGAGCTGCCACTGAGAAAGCCCTGGCCCTCGTCACGGTGAGCCTGGCCTCTTTGGGGCCTGGCAGGGTCAAACGATTTTGTGACCCCGACCTCAGTGCTCTCTGGGGTATATGTGGGGAAAGGCATCCCTCAGGTATGACGGACCCTGGCCATATAGGGCTTTAAAGGTAAGCACCAGCACCTTGAAACGGATTCGGAGGCAAAGAAAGAAGGGTCCCCCACCCATTGCTGCTTTCTCTTTCCCCCTTTTCCTATCCTCCAGGCTCTTGCATAAGCCTCCTGCAGCAATGGTGAGAATCTTGGAGCCAAGAGTGCACTTTGTGCTCCAGGCCACTGCTGCATACCAGCTGTAGGGGGTGGATTACAAAACAGAGGCTGCGATCACACACACTAAACAATCCACTTTCAATCCACTTTCCAACTGGATTTTGCCAGTTTACACAAGTAAAATCCAGTTGGAAAGTGCATTGAAAGTGGATTATTTAGTGTGTGTGATCGCAGCCAAAGTCACTGTCTCATCATGCAGTTCTGGGATACAAGAGAGGGAGGGTAAAGGTGGACAGTAGCGGGGTGGGGCAGTAAAAACTGATAATGGGGAGAGAAGAAATAAAAAGCAGCAATGAGAGGGTAAGAAAGTAAGCAAGACAGGAGGAAGCAGTGGTCAAGGGAAAGGGTCCTCATAGCTCCTCCTTCTGCATCCACATACTACCCATGCCCACAATGCTGCAAGGAAGCTCACCCCTTCAATCAGTGAACTGCATAAGAGGAAGCAGTGGTCAAGGGAAAGGGTCCTTATAGCTCCTCCTCCTGCATCCACATACTACCCATGCCTACAATGCTGCAAGGAAGCTCACCCCTTCATCAGTGAACTGCATAGTGGCACTGATGCTATGCCCAATTATGCCAACAGCAGTCCGTGCTGCAGATGTTTCTACACAAAGAATGAACAACTAGTAGTAGGGATGCAAGGCTGATGCAGGCTTTTCAAATAAGATGTGCCTGGGGATCCAGACTAAGTTACAGAGGTCCTGATAAAATTTTCACAAGTTTTATAATTTGAAATGTTTGGCATCTCTACCTTAAGAAAATATTGTGTCTGGGAAATGGGAAAGTACAGCTTTAGTATAGGGGATACTAAGGAATAAATAAGTCCCCGTCTTGCAGTCAAGGGGGTGAAGAAAGGTTCACATTCAAGCAGTTTCTCACAGACTTAAATAAAGGCGAAAGTATAGCCTTTAAAGAGCAGCTGCTGACATTTTACAGAACAGCAAAAGCAGAAGAGGGGGAGGGAGCAAGGCAAGGACATCAAATAAACCAAGAATAATGATGGTCATTGTGCTCTAGATTCTTGTCATTTCACAAGATAGGATGTTTGAGCAAGCTCATTGATTCCT